TTCTTCCAGATGGTCCCATGGCTCACTCCCTCACTTTATTCAAATCTCTGCTCAAATGTCATTCTAGTTAAAACAGCACATACACTCCTACCCCAACCGCTAACTGTTTTACCCTACTTTTCCCCTAGGTCTTACATTCTATTATACCGCTTTATTGCCTTAGCTTGAAATATAAGCCTCATGGGGCAGAGGCCCTCTGTGTGTCTTGGTCACATCCCAAGGGGCTAGAACAGTGCCTGGCATAGAGTTAATGCTCAATGATACTTCTGGGATGAACAAATGAGTTACTATTAGCTACTGTAGAGCTTCATTGTGTACAAAACAGACACAAACAATATCCCAATAAGCTCTTTAACCATTTGTGGGATAGGCTTTGTTGTACACATTTTAAAGGTAAGTTAAGAGTCTGTTTAATATTTTTTAAGTCCTTTGCTAAGGTCATGCAACTTTTGGTCATATAGGCCAAGCCCTGTTTTTTTTGCCTTCAAACCCAGTTTATTAATCATAACCACAAAATTTTACTAAAATAGTTATAATCTGTTAGTACTCTTCTTGACACTTCACTTGTATCTCATTTAACCTTCACAGCAATTCTTTGAGGTAGGCACTTCTACGATTGTTGTTTTGCAGGTAAGGAAACTAAGCACAGCTAAGTCACTTACCAAGGTCAGAGAGCTGGCTGGCAGTAAGGACAGAATCTGGGTCCTGGCGGCCTAACTCCAGAAACTTGTTCTCGACCTACCAGCTCACCAGGCACAGCCTGTGAAGGAAAGAGAGCTAAGTAAACTGCAGAACACCAATGGACCAGTATCAAATTTGTTCTAAGACTTTCTGCCAGAGTAAGCTTTTTGCTTTTGCTGCATGTGGCAGAATCTTTCTCTTTTCTCAAAGATCATAAGGTGGAAAGCAGTTGTAGCTCAAATGCGTTTTACCTTATGTTGTTTTCTGCTTTCCCTCCATCTTGGGGATGTTTGAAACATTTGTTTCTGAATTGAGAGGTCACTTAGGAGTCAGGGTGGGGCTGGTGCGCTTCCAGCAGTTTGTCTTTCTGCTTTACTTGCTAGTTTTGTGGTGCCTTTGAGGCTGTGTGCACAGGCTGACCTTCCCTCTGAGCTCTCCCCCGCCTCCCTCCTCACCCCATGACATGCCTTGTTTCATAAATTCTCACCTTTAGTTTATCACATAACCCACATTGTAAACACTCAAATTCTTTTCTTTTCTTTTCTTTTCCTTCCTTCCTTCCTTCCTTCCTTCCTTCCTTCCTTCCTTCCTCCCTTCCTCCCTCCCTCCCTCCCTTTCTTCCTTCCTTCCTTCCTTTCGTCCTTCCTTCCTTCCTCCCTTTCTCTTTTTTTTCTGGTAGAAATCTATTTGATTGGATGTGACGGCACTAGAGGCAGAAATGTGGCAAAATTTTAAATGGTGAGAAATCCATCTCAGCTACCTGGATTTTGAGAAGCAAATTGTGATTCCCTGGCTCACTTTGTATTGAACTGGACAAGTTAGATGAACTATAAAAGCTTTATTGACTTGTCTACTTGCCTCCAAGTCAATCAAGTGTCTGTGAACGATGCCACTATTTGTTCTCTCTGGCTATTCAAATTATTAACTTAAATGTGTGCATAAAGTTACACAAAATAGGTGGATACCCTTAAAATATCAAATCCCTCAGATCTTAAATAAGGAAGCACTCAGACTTGAAATATAAAGCATGTGTTTTGATTGATTCCTAGTTCTTTATAATATAAAGGTTTATAGCACTGATCTGGGAATCGATTGTGAGTTCCTGCACGCTAGTATGTGATCTGCTCATCTAGGTATCCCTACTACCTGCCACATAGTAGGTGCTCACAGAGTAGGTGCTTAACATCGTAGGCACTTTATAATTATATGTCAATCTCTAGTACTCTGCCTTTCATTGCCTACCTGTGGACTTGAGTCAGACACTTCACACACACACACACACACACACACACACACACACATATGTGCGTGCTATTCATCTCTATATTCCAAAATATAGAACCACTAGATAGCAGGCAAGCATTAAATGATTACTAAATTCAACAGCACAAGGATTTTATTTTTTGTTACTGGTTTTATCTGCCCTTTTCCCATCCTACCAAGTTCATTTGGCTCTCTGGCCAGAATACCTAAAAATCACTGGATCATCTAATCAAATATTTGAAGGCCTGAGGCCTTGAAATTATTCAAATCAAGTTCAGAATTACATTTTTAAATTTACCCTGATCATTTCATAAGTAAATTTAACAACTAGCTAACTGCTATCCCAGGAGGGAAAAAAAAGAAGCGTAAGCTTAATGAATTTGGTCAGACATACTGTGTAACAGATGTCCAATGTGCTGCCATGAGCTTAAATCATAAGTATGATGGCTCTGTTTGGCATGGCAAAATATATTAGAAGTGTTTTATCGGTCACTGGGCAACTTGCTAGATGGAAGGGGAATAATTCTGAAAAATGCTGGAGCTGAGTCTAGTAGCATCTCAAAAGGAGCTGTGGAGAAACACAGATAGCCTGCCTGCAATGATTCATCAAGTTGGTCCTTTGATTCACTAATTTGAGTGTCAAGTGCAACCATACAATAAAGAATTGCCAGGACCTGATAAGATTCTCCTCTGGCTGCTGCTTTTCCTGCCTTAACAACTGGTGCTATTCATGCCTAAAGCACAAATTGAATAAATAGCTTCAAGGCTGCCAATGTTGGACAGTGTTTTGAATTTTTTGTTTTTCCTTGTAAGGCTAAATCCTGGATGTTTCTTTCCCCAAACACATTGCATTGATAGTCATTGTTGCATCAATAATTTTAACTTCCCTAATACTAAGTATGGAAGGATGCCTCTTAAGTTAAAAATAGTTCCTGTTGTATCATCAGTCCAGCCATGGATTAGTGAAGATTAAAAAAGGATTGTAATGCCTTTTTTGGCCTTGAGAAAGCTCTTATTATGCCTATGGTTCAGTTGGCCTGCTGATCATTTCCATCTTAATGTAATCTTTAACATTACACTGCTACAGGTGAGGTGTTAAGTAATATATTAATACAACTATTCTAACTGAGCAATTTCACAAGAAATATGTTTTTAGCTAAATTAGACATCTAACAAATGTCATTTGAAATTCAACATGAGGGGGAGGACCCTTTAAACAGGATATTGGTGTGAATTTCCCAACATAAAAAAAAAGGTTTTAAATTTTTTTAATTGAAGGTTTGAATGTGAAATTGTGTATTCTAAGTGCAATAGACTACCATGAGCAGAGCACCAAGGGCCTTTGGAGGCTTATAAAATAAGCAGTAAGCAGTTCTATCTCCAGAAGCCAGAAATCTTTCATTAAAATTAGGGAGATTCCACAGGTTCCGTTAACCATGTGGAGATGATGTGTTAGTGTTTTTACACTTGAAAATCACTAAGGACTTCAAAGGTCTGATAGCAAGGAACATTGTAATATTTAAAACAAATAATGAATAAAATAATCTAGATGAAAACTGTGATAAAAAGATTGCATGAGAGTAACTGGATTAGAAAAGTAAAATTAAGGGCGAAGAGACTATGAGAAAGCTTACAATTAAAAATCTGAAATAATAAATAATTTTTTTGAAAAATTATTTTGTGGTAGATTTCCCCACACAATACCCATAAATGCAAAAGCTATAAATAAGGCTATTGACATTTGGGCGGTTGACTTGTTTTTTAGAAAAATCACAAAACAGAACACTTAGTTTGCAAATTTTCAAATGGGAATCACGTTCAGAATCCAGTTGGGTTCTCCTTTTTTTTTTTAATGATTTCATAAAAGATAAATAAGCTCTCGGGCCAAGGGGTGGTTGTACTGACACGGTTAACTCCCTCGCCCCAGAAATTCCATTAGGCTGAAAAGAATATTTGGGGGCGGGAAAGGGGGGATGCAGTGGTCTTTAGGACCCAGCAGGCGGCGGCAGGCGGCAGTTGTGTAGATCACGGAGAGACTACGAGGGTCCGGTTCAGTTTTAATTCTGTCTCTAATCTCTGCAACGCCGGCGCTTCCTGGGTCCCGCGGCTCCCCTGCCCACTCAGCCGCCGCCGGCCACCGGGCTCAAATCAGAGCCGCCCGCGCCCCGTCACCCATCATGGAAATCCTTCAAGAAAAAGTGGCTCCGGACGCATGTGCCTGAGGATTCCGTACAAAAGAGGTGCCCAAAATGAAGACCCTGATGGTGAGTCATTTGTTCCAACTCCTCGGAGCAGAGGCGGGGACCCCCGGGAGCAGCGTCCCCGGGGTGCGTGGGAGAGCTCCAGGGGCGCCCAACCCAGCCCCGCGAGGTCGCCTGTTACAAAGGGATAACTTTCCACCTGCTCCGCGTCCCCTCACGATTCCCGGGTTCTGCCTGAGTAGGTATCCCAGAGCCAGGATCAACTCAGCTTGCGTAGGCTCCTTGACCTCGCAGAAGTCTGAGGGCAGCAGAGAGCTGGAGTGGTGGGCGCCTTGCTCCGGGGGTGGGGGATACCCCAAAGCAACCGCCTGGCAAAAACTGAGAGGTCATGGGAGACCTTTGCAGACTTTCTGGGTTTCCTTGAATGATTGCAAACTTGCGAGAATCGCCGGGGTAAAGCCCCACGGGTCCAGTAAGGAGAGGGTGCCAAGGCTAGAGATTCCAGCAGGCGAGTTGGCGAGGGGTCCCTTCCCCGAAGTGCGAGAGACCCCCGCCCCTGCCCGCTCCGCCGGCGCGCTCTCCCTCCAGTAGCCAGGCGCCGCGCTCCACCTGCCCTCTGCCGAGAGAGCTGGGAGGCGGCGGCGGCCGAGAGCAGCTACGCTCGGGAGCATCCCCTACGGTACCCACCGCACCGAGCCGCCTCTGACCCGGCTGGGCTGCGCGCGGCCGCGCCAGGACCCTGGCCAGCTCCCGCCGGGCATCGCCCCGGGCCGGGTCTTGCGGGTGTTTTCACCGGGTGCGCTCCTACCGGGTGGGCTCTCAGCGGCTCTCTGCTCTCTCCGCCCGCCCGCAGCGCCATGGTCTGGCAGTGTGTTTAGCGCTCACCACCATGTGCACCAGCTTGTTGCTCGTGTACAGCAGCCTCGGCGGCCAGAAGGACCGGCCCGCCCAGCAGCCGCAGCAGCAGCAGCAACAGCAGCGGCAGCAGGCGGCAGCGGCGACCGGCAGCGCGCAGCCGTCGGCGGAGAGCAGCGCCCCGTCGCGCCCCGGGCCCCCCGCAGGACCGCGACCGCTGGACGGATACCTTGGCGTAGCGGACCACAAGGTGACAGCTCGCTCGCCCGCTCGCACGCCACCCAGCTGGGGAATCCCGCACACCTAACCCTGCCCTCTTTCCCGGGGCTGGGAGGCGCCGTGAGTAGGTGCCGTTCGGAGGCCGGAAGGGGGAGTGGACCCGCTGGGGTGGGTGGGATGGTTCCTACTTGATAGGAATTCCTATTTGGAAAAGGATGCAAAGTTTTCCAGGGAATAGGGATGGGATGAGTGGACCCCAAAGCCCAATGTCCTAACAGGAATGGGCCCTGGAACTTGAACCCTCTGACCCCCAGAATTGCAGGGCCGGTGCGTGCTGGTTTCCGGAAGCCTAGGGTTTGGCTGCCAAGTCTCGCCTTTGTGGGAGTTGACCCGGGATGGCGCTAATAGCAGCCCTGGCGTTCCTCCGACCGTGAACCAGAGGGTGAGGCCGCTGCTCAGGCTCAAAGACTCCCCTCTGATCTCTGCTTCGGTTGCTCTGGGCAGAATTGCCACAGCCCTGGAGAGCGGTGCCCAGGCAGGCGCGCGAGGTTGGAGGCACCAACTCAGCTTCCATTGGCTTGAAACTCATCGTTGAGGGCCTGTTTTCCTCTGGCTTCCCGGGAAGCTGCTGGCTGGCTTGGCTAATAATTAATAAGATAAATTTTTTAAATTGAGCCTCCTCTTCCTGGAATAATGAGTGTCTGGTTTCAGTGTGTGAAGCCTTTGGGAGAATCCTAATCAAGTTTTCTGATTCTGAAAAGACAGTTTAAATGCATTCTGCTTTATTTGAAGCTGCTAATATATTTTGATTAAAACACAATTCCACTCTGTGTCTGCTCTGTAGAGCTAGAGGATTTCTTGAAACCACCCAACTAATCTGCTTTTTATATTACTAGATTTTATGGTTGTGGACCAAAGTGATAGTTAGCAGGTACTCCTTTTGTGTGGAAAGATTGCTCTTACCCTGCATGAAAAAGCCAAACTTTTTAAAGGAAACAATCAAAACATTTCCACTCATTTGTGCAATGAATAATGCTAAGGGTTTTTGGAAGGTACAAAAGAATTTAAGACAGGACTCAGCCTTTAGAGGTCTTTGAATACTTGGGGGTGGTGGGTAGGGGTTGGGGGATACCATGGAGTGTAGATAGATAGATAGATAGATAGATAGATAGATAGATAGATGATAGACAGACTGATAGATATACATGTATAGGAAATGCAAGATGTAAACTGTTAGTATTGTTGGGTACAAAGATGAGAAAGATAGATCACTGCTCACTGGAAGGATCAATGGAAGTTTCTTTGAAAACATGGAACTTGCACTGGGAAGAATTCAGAGAAGCAGAAAAGAGGAAGAGATTTCATTACAATGTGATTAGGGGGAGGGGGCTGTGGTAGACTCAAAATCAAAAGTAGAGAGGGTCATCAGTTTTACAATTCCAGCTGCAATTTTCTAAGTTGCTGATTGATTACACACTTTGTATCTGCATGTGGGAGCAACTGGTAAGGGCTGGAGTTCTAGGAAAGTTTAGAGATCGGCCTCTGACTGTGGGTGGATGTGTAACTGGAGATGATGAATATATTGAACTTAGGGGGTTTTCATAGCTATTGTTTACTGGAAATGGTATTAGCACTGGTGGAGTTTTGATTAACAGGGTGTCAGAAGGTACATTTGCTGAGAGCTTTGATGGGCCTGTGGGAAAATATTCCTAATACTTTCCTCCTGGTGCTCTTCTGCTGGACACCAGTTAAGAACATTGATAGCCTAAGGCAAAATATGATGCCCTCATGTTTGCAAAACAGTGTTTATTCACACAAATAGGTCGTATTCCATTTTCAATGTATCAGAGCTTTAGTTCATTAAAATGAAGGACAGCTCTTTTTCTGGAAGGAATGTTGACACTCTATATGAGAAAGTGAGATGATCTGTAGTAAAAGGGTTTTATAAATTGTGAAGTGTTGTGGGCATGATAAATATGTGTGAATGTCCTTGAAATTGTTAGCAGAGAACTATAAACATGACCAGGAAAATCTTTGCAGATAATTAATAGTAATGAAATTCTTTCATAGAAAACCAATATGTCTCAAAATTCCATACCCAAAGGGTTCAGCAGGGTTTGCCCCACCCAAGCAAAGGAACAAAGGCAAACCTTAAAATCTATGCCTCTTTCTAGGCATCCTCCCAATTGTATCACGGAGCTATACATAAACTTCTGTTCAAAATGCAATCATTGACCCTCTTTACTGTTACTATTTAGCTGGCTAGCAATTAGGCAGAGTTCTATGTCTGATGGCTGTCTGAATGTGCATGTGTAAAATATTTGTCCTCTCCAAAAGGTGCTGTCTAATCATGTTTACTTTGGGATCTTCCTATATCTTGCTTAGGCAGAGATTTGTTAGAATATTGCTAGGAATTCTTTTCTTTTCTTTTTTCAATTAACACAGGGGAGGGTAGGAAATGACAGCTTTTCTATTTTTGTTACATTACCAGATGATACTCTGATTGCTCTTTTTGTCTTCACTCTCACATCAGGCCTTAGAAAAATTATAGGATGTGCTGAGTGTGATGACCACCAAGCCATATGCTGCTGCATATTGAATCAGAATTCCAACAGACTTTTTATCTGCCGCTGATTTACAGAATCTGGGGAGAGTTACAGATTCCACTTAGGAAACTGTTCACACCTCCGTGGCCAGAGGTCCCAGAGTCGGCGAAACATGTAGTGTTTCTGTTCCGTTATATGAAGGTATTAACATTATAACTCCAAGATTAAATTCAACAGGTGGTCCTAAGCCCAAGCACCTGACTTTCACAAATTATAGCCTGTCTGCAATGATAGCCTTGTCTCGTGCAGCAGCAGACTAAATTGCTGTTGAGATTAAATCACTGTACGCCTTTGTTGAAAGACATGCTGCAAGTCAAGTCAGTGATGAGCAATATGTGTTGAAGCTTAAAATATCACTTTCCATGGTCATATTTCCTACGTCCTCTTTTACAGATGATGCTGAAATTGTAATTCCAGTAGGACCCAGTGAAGGCTACTTGGAGTTCCTTGTGATAATGAAGGCATTTCGTTCCTGTTGTTGTTGTTAGATTCTTTCTCTTCATTTCCAATACCTTTCCCCCAGACCTTTCCCCACAAATGTTTCACCAGTTTATTTCCACCTTCTTACACGTCTGTCATTGCAGCTACTGCATCTGTATCTTGACATTACTTTCTTGGTTCCCGTTTTTAAAAGCCATTGATTCTAACCTTATTGGCCAGACGGAAGCAAAGAAGCCAATTTGGGGAATCTTCTGCATTTAGAACTGCAGCATAATATATAACCAAACTGACACACACACATACACTCGATCAAGCAACCCTCCGAGGAAACCTCCAGTCTCCCAGCAGAGGGGAAGGGGCCTGGAGCACCATTCTATTTCCAGTCCGGATCTGGTCTGGGTAGATAAAGTTATTTGCCATCTGGTGGACTTTGTGAAATGAAACTGTGAGCTGATTCCCATTTCTAGTGGACAGGAGCCCTTATCACAGAAGGCCCATTTGTCACCCGGACTGCCCTTTTCAGAGAGGGCTTAGAAAAGGGCAGTGATCAATGGGGTCTGAAGCCAAGCTGCTATCTCCTTGCTTCAGTAGTAGCTCCCAGGAGTGGATTTTATACATACCTGTAACATGCTTCTTGCTTCTTTCTCTGCCTCTTTTCTTCCATCAGTCTTCAGTTATTCAAGCAAAACAAACTGCTTAAAGGTAATAGTACTATAATTATTAATTGGTAGATGTCCAGTTGAAATACGACAAACCAATGCAAGAGTTAGAAAATAATTCAAAACCAAAAAAGGGGGAGAGGGGGCACATGCCATATAACTTACTTTGAAATTATGGCATAAATATTCTTCTTTTAGAAAAGTATGTAAATACTCAAATACAAGTTTATACCATTAATTATACTCTATGGTATTGGAGTCATCTGATGAATTATAAATAATTTGGATTTTAAATAGATCCAAAGCAAGCTAATTTTCAGTACTCAAGTAGTACCAAGTATAATCGACTACTGAAAACAAAAACCCTGTTTTCACAAAACATCAACCAAAGGAAACATGACATGGACTATTTGTTCATGGGTAAGGAGCTATGATAATGTGGTTACTGTTAATGGGGTAATTGATTATACAGCATTTATTACAATACTTAATCTTCCTTAATTTTATGAGAGCAAGGAGTACTTATCCAGCTTCCCACAGGAGGAATCCCAAGATACTTCAGTGTCAAAGCCCAGGCCATACCTGGTGGATGAGTCTAGCCTGGCTCCCTTTCAAGTTCGAAGCATTCTGTCCTCCTTGCTGATCCTAGAATACTCATTCTTCTCAGGACCTTTGCACTTGCTGTTTCCTTTCTCTATAAATCTCTTGCCCAAGATCTCTTGCATAGTGATTTCTTCTGGTCACTCAGCCCTCAGATCACATGTCATCTTCTTGTGACCCACTCCTCAACAGTCTTTAAAGAGCCCCTTCCTTAACAATCATTCTCTACTATATCAGCCTGTTTTATTTTTCTTATAATTCTTACTTTCTGAAATAATCTTCAAGTTTACTTATCAGTTGTTTGCCCTCCTCCAAGAGAATGTAAGCACTGTGAGAGCAAAGTATATACAACCTCTGTATGCTTTTCTTTGGTATAGCAAAGGGTCTCCTGGACTCTTGACCAGTTTAACTGCAAGCCCTAGATCAGCATTTGGTACTTATTGGACACACAATAAGTATTTATTGAAAGAAAGTAGGATGTGGGGGTGGGCGTGGGAGGAGGATGTCAAGAAGGACAGAGCTACCTCATCTTATGTTAAGTTCTTTCTCTACAAGAAACATCAGTGCAGTCCCAAGGCCCTGGTATGTCTCATCATTCTTAAATTTGTTATAATAATAATGGAAAGGAAAAAGAAGAAATTATCTAAAACATAAGAATCGTTGGGAATGATGTTTAGGAATCTACATTTTTAAAAATATGTATATTTTTATTGATTTCAGAAAGG